TTTTCGAATAGCTCGGTGATACACACGTTCATATTTTCCGTGAGATATATATATTAAAAGAATCTGATAAAAGTTTGAGAAAAAAATGTTAAAACTAACTTAATTACGAATAAAAATTATCGTTTGATTTAATAATAAAATCATAGAGTTTTAAAATTTACGGAACAGAAATTAGATCCAAAAGATTATTTGAAGTTGAAAAAAAGAAAATTAGAAAGATTTGATGAAATTTATCGGATTTATCGTGGGAAAAATATTCCTTTCGAGGAAAGGGAAGAAGGGTCTCAAAGGGTCATAGCTTCGTTAAGGACACATTTTCTATTTCTTCTACTGGTCGCAAACTCGTTGTCTCGGATCGTTAACCCTCTACTACCCTCGTAGCCTCGATTATAAGCAAAAAAGTCAACTAATCGTATCTCGAATCTCCTTTGAAGGACCCTTGTAAGATAGTCTAAGCCACGAAAAAAACTAAAATTTCGTAGCTTCTTTATCTCGTAAGAGATGATCCTTATAGACGATCGAGTCGGATTTTATTCATCTTGACGTCTTCGTCACTTGCCAAGTCACTCGTTTCCATGAATGCGAAACAGCAAAATAGCTCGATCCTCTTATATAGGGAAATTTTTAGATGGCCTCTTGATCTTATTGAAATTGGCAAATTCTTTTTTTCATCGGAAATATTTTTACTCTTGTTTCGTCGTATATAATTAATTCCTATCGCCTATCCTAATTTTGATTAATTAATTTTCAACACAATGTAGAAAAATAAGTAGAAGAAAAAAACAAATGTTAATCGCTCTTCGTAAATATATCAATATAATCAAGTTTGACGAATAATATCAATAAGGAATATTCGACGATTCCATTTCACTCAATTTCCTTCGCTTTTCAATTTCGATTCTTCCCCTCTTCTTCCTTCCAATTTTCCAAACAGTCTATCAAAAAAAAAAAAAAAATCTCTGATTGAAAAAAAATCGAACGCTCCAATCCTCCAAACTTTCCTTCCAAAGTCTGTTACCCCCCTCTCGAACCGAGAAAGAAACCCTTTCCCACCCCTCGGCGCGGCCGCATCGAGCCAACCACGGGCTTCGAACCTTTCACCCCCGATGAAGCCAACTCGATAACGTGGATCCAAAGTGACTCGACCGCATTTGAATAGATCCCTTCCTTTGGGTCGCTCCAAGCAGTGTTCCGCGACGGAGTCGCCCCCGTAACCAGCCACTCCCAAGTCTGCAGTTTTGCGGATTTCAGCGGAGTAGCCGCGCTATTATTGGACTGCCGGATTTTCGCGGAATCAGCGTAATCTCGGGCCCGAACGCTCTCGAACCGAATATATTTTCCGCCTTTGCTCCACCCCTCGTGATCGCCTATCCCGTTAAACGGTGTAATTTATATAACCAAGATATAATATAATCTCCTTTCCTCACCTATACTTTCTGTTCCGCGTTTCTTTCTGGCTGCGTGCAAATTGGAAAGCGATTATTTTCCGCGGATGGTCGAATGGAAGGGGGAAGGGAGGGAGAGGGATAGTTTTTCGATCAAGTTTTTGGAAATTTGTGTGTTATGGAGGATAATCGAAATGTCGTTGATTCTTTGGACTCGAGAAGTTGTGTTTTTTCTTTTCTTTTTTTTACCTTGGAATGGAATATCGATGCGCATACAAGAGATTGATACCCGTGATTCGAGTTTGTACAACGAAACGATTCAACGAGCGTGTTGAGTGATGTTCAAGCGTTGGTAGAAAAATCCGAGCCAATCACTCGCAACGGAATGGGGCTTGAAGAACAAATGCCGATCTTCGAAGATCAATTCGAAGATCAATTCGAAGATCGTCGCTCAATTTATCGCCTTGACTTAACGTTAACCCTTTTCATCGCAAACAATAGTCTGAACACATTCGATACAAGATGTTTACTCGACTCGCGAATTATTCGCCTCGTTGGTTGGCGATCAAAGGGGGTTAAATCGAGCTCGAAGAAATCAGTTGAGAGAGAGAGATTACGTCTCTCGACGTCGTGCGAATCCGGTGCATAATTTGCACAAACTCGAAAATTATCCTTCGAACCTTTTCAGTAGACGAAGCCTCTCCTCCCTCCTCCCCCGTAAAGCCAAAGCTTCCTCGTGGCTAGTAGCGCACAAGTAAATAATTAATCGATTTCACGCAGCGTGAATCGATCATTAGGCTTGGCTGAAGAATCGGCTTTCTAAGTTTCCAGGAGGAATCCCCGACAAGCCGCAAGATGAGAGGTTAGAGCGAAGTGTAGAGGATCCATGGTGAAATTTCACCAACGATACAAATGTCCACACAGTAGCGACACAGTAGCCCTCTGTTGAGCAGCATCTGGTATCTTCGTTCGTTCGATCATCGAACAACATCGTGTTCTCCCCTCTCCCCACCAAAGCCTCTCTCGCCCCGCACTCTCACCATCGCTAGAGCATACGTGTACGCAGGCATATTGGTATGCGAGTCACCACGCGAGCAACGTAGATAGATAGCAAGTAGCAGTTTGGCAGACCTTTAAGTAGAACGCGATAAGAATAACATCATCAATCTGCCGCAGCGGCGCGCCATCTGCTCGTATCATCATCCATTAGCAGTTCTTTTGCACCGTTAGACCCTGATGAGTCTGATTTCACGCCTGGGAAAATAATTTCTGGATACCTTCGTGCTTCTCATTCGATTGTTCGCCACGATTTAGACGACTATCTCATGAACTATTGCTATTTTGAGGATCGTGCGTAGTTCGAGTTGATGAAGACCTTGTTCACCTTCCAATCCAGTGCAGCGCTGTTCACCGATTGTTAATATGGGCAGTGATAATGGGATAGGAATCTGAAGTTTTAATTTTTTCATTTTGTTAGTATCTCTGCTGGTAGGTTTGACCTACGAATTTTCTGTAAGAGTCGATTTAAAAAAGTCTCGAGTTCTCATTCCGCCCATAGTTTCATTCCGTGAACAGCATTGTCCTAAATTAAGAAATCTCGAATTTCATTAGCTTCGCTCCCCTCCCTATAGTTTTTGGACACCGTCCATGGACTAGAACAATTCAAAGATTCCTCATCTGGTAGTTGCCTTCAACGATATTTTCTACGAGCCTAGAACAGTAGTAGAACAGTAAAGTTTCAGTAAACCTCCATTCTCCATTCTAGTTTTTACGCTGAAACGGACATGCACAGATATCCATGTATGCCATGTAAAAGCTGGACAGCACTACGTAGCCCCTTGCCACCCGTAATAGCTTCGCCATTACTGCCGAAACGGCAAGCTGAACCCTGTTAATCTAATACCAGTAGCTTTCAAGTGTAGAACAAAAGAAAAAAAAAGAGAAAAAAATAGCGATCAATTTAAATAACGTAGAGAATCATCCGCTTGTCGAATTATTCGTTCACTTGCTGCCTTCACCCCCTTCTGCCCCCATTAGGTAGCACATCCCTTTCTTCGCGATGGAAGAGTAAAGAAAGACAGGCCCAGAGAAGGATTGAGAATTGAAGATATTTCCAACACTAATGTTGCTTTTTGTCTGTGATCTATTTAATTCCATGATTCCACCTATGTCTCTATGTCCTCTCTCTCTCTCTCCCTCTCTCTGGCTTTCGCACGATGCACCGGGTGATTTCGAGCTGTTTGTCGTGGTTTCAAATGGCCATGCGTGTCATCATGCTCTGCGAAACTTTACGACATTCAAGGTACATTCAGGAGGAGGAAGACAAGAGCAGAAAAAAAAAAAAAAGAACGACAAGTTTGGCGAAAGTTCCACGATCTCGCAAGTCACGTGGGGTCGAGTAACTTTTATCGGAATTTATTATTATATTATATTATATTATATATTATATATTATTATATTATATTATATTATATTATATATTATTATATATTATTATATATTATTTATATTATTATTATTATTATATATTATATATATTATTATATTATATTTATTATATTATATTTATCATCTTGTCATTCCTGAACTGGGGTACTTTGTATGATGAAGTTTGGCGGGAAAGTGTGTTGGCCGCACGGCAAACAGTGGGATGAATCACCCTGTACATGGATGATTTAAAAGGGAAAATCGATGCCTGGGTAAACGGTGTATCCATCATCCGGACAGATCAGCCACGTGTCTCTCTGATTCGGAATAAAGTCGGTGAAAAATTTTCAAGATTGGAAAAAGAAGAAAATAATTTTGCTTTCGATTTGCTTCAGAGTTTCAGGGATTATGGATACTCCTTTGATCTCAAACACTCTCTCCGCCCGGATTTTGATGAATTCGTTATTCGGTTAAAGGTGATGTCTTTGATTGAATAATAAATAAATCGTGTGGGACGATGAATTTTGCGAAAGAAGGGGGAGAAGAAGGTTTTGTCTTCATGATTATTCAGGACGTGGGATGATTCATAAGTACGTATGTCCGTATTTCAAGAGCGAATCTATTCAAAATAATCATGCGAATATATATTCTGCGTACTTCGCTCGAAGTTCACAAACGAAGTTACAAAACTCGTATAAACTTCGCAGAGACCTACTACTTTATTCGTTCTGATAAGATTAAAAAAAAAAAAACAAAGTGTAACGAGATTTCAAATTTTTCAATGTACATTCCAAATTATTCTATTAAAAACACTTATTAACTCGTTACAATATGCAGATTTAAACTCTTCAAATTCGAACATGCATTTACGAATCATCTCATTAGAAAAAAAAAATTCTGCTCTTTTTTTTATAACAAAGCATCAATCTTTCCCTTTAAATGATCCCGTGTGTTGTCTCTTCTCGTGTGTTCCATATAGAGTCCACTACAACCTACAAGTCATTCGTTCAACCACTTGCACCTGTAATAATAAACCACTTTCTCTCTCTCTCTCTCTCTCTCTCTCTCTTTCTCTCTCTTTCTCTCTCTCTATCTATCTGTCTATCTATCTCTATCTCTCTCCACTGTGTCTAAGCATTACTGTAAGAGTGCTGTAGTGGAATAACAAGGTGATAAAAACACGCCCAGTTCCCCTGGTGGTGCAAATCGTCGTCGACGACAATGCCGACGACGCCTCCGCCTCCAATGGCCACGGTGCCCGGCCCAGGCTCCGGTTCTGCCTCTGGTTCCGGTTCACAGGGCGCCCAGGGCGTCTTACTCTGCCCACGTACGCTGTCTCAGGTCCGACGATCACGGCTACGAAGGGCCCTCACCGAGGCGACCGCCGAGACCGTCAACTACGTCAAGACGGTGGGCACGACTACTTAAGACTAAGCCTGATATAAATATATATATATATATACATATCTTAAACCACTCTACACGATTTAGCGCAATTTTTCCTATAGCAATTCGTACACACGCACTGACGCACGGTGTTCTTACTGTGTTCTTTTGGAACTCTTTTTCTTTTCTTTCTTTTCCTTCCTTTCTTCCTTTAAGAATATTACATTACAGGTTTCTTGGATTTTTTTTTTATCTATAAGTGGGATGTGGTTAATTATTTTTTTTTCTTTTCTGGAATTATTTTGTTCAATCAAATCGATCGAGAAGGTAAGAAAGATTGTTAGATTATAGAATAGGTATTATGGAAACGTAAGAGGGATATTAATTGCAATGGTAAACTTGCTCCAAAAGAACGCAGAGAAGGGAAGGGAAACGACGAGTCTGATCTAATTTCCTCGTTACGATCTTTCGTTTCGATGACAAATCCGGATTTCGGGCATAAAAGATCGAAACGATTCGATTCCACGTCGTTAGCGTTCTCGCGAGAGGGGACGAATAATAAAAGGCTCGACTCACACAAGGAACGTAAATACACGTGTCTATCGATCGATCGATGGAATTTATGACGAGTGACGAGAGACCAAGATTAGTACGAAAAAAATTGAAATTTCGTCGAAGAGACGAAATTATTATTGTTTTTCTTTTTTTTTTTTTATTACGTGTGCTGTCGCATTGCGTTGTGCGCACATCAACGACCAATTTTCCAGACGATACCTGACTACTTCCATTAGCGGCCCACGTGAGTATCACACATGCAATATTAATTCTTTGACAAGTATTCCTTCCAAACGTATTATTGCAGATCGATAGAATTATAAATCAATCTCTTGTAAATTAAAGATCTAGGGAATTGAATAATTGTGTTATTGTTAACTTGATTTAATTTAATTATTCGAAGCAAAAGGGATTAATTCGTGTGAGTTAAGCCTTGTCGTGACACGTGTGTGCCCGCGATATTAATGCATTTTTGCCGTGCGTACGTGCGGTTATGCGAGCACAGTAGTTTAGTCACTGACTCTTTAATAGATCCACCACGCCTCTCACCATTGTTCACCGCTGTGAAGTATTGCCACCAACTTAGCCTGTGTCTCGCACCAACCGTCACCTGTATTCTCCAACATATCGGGGGAAACGTCGAATCAACGCCGTTTCGTTCTTTTTGTCAAACGTTTATTGAACGGGATAACGCGTCACGATAAGATGGTTCAACAAAGAGGCCCCTTTTTTCTTCGCTCTGCCAATTTATCTCTTGCAGCAGATCGATTAGTTTGCGAACTAGAGTTTAATTAATCGAGATATCGAGAAGATTGGACGTATAAATTTTTTTACGATTTTATCACGAAATAAGAAGTTTGGCGAGTTCGAGTTGCATCGTGGAGTTTCGACGCACAGTCGAAACTGTGTTCGATTAATATACGTATATACGTTTCCATGGAGGAAGTATATTAAGTAGAGTAGAGCGTGTGGATCGATCGATTATTTCGAATGGAATTGAAAGAAGGTGGAAGAGAAAAGAAGGAAGAAAACGTAGAGAGAGGAAGAGGGAGAGTAAATAAAGGAAAAGATGAAATAAAGAGAGATGAAATGAAAACATTATGTGATAGAGCGAAAACAGACGGAAAGAGGAGATCAAAGAAGGAAAAGTAAAAAGGAAAGTAAGAAGGAAAAGTAAAAAGGAAATTAAAAGTAATATTTTCCTTCTTCTTCTTCTTCTTCTTCTTGTTTCAACTAAGTGGTTCAAAGTATGAACATCTGTTTTCTCATCATCTTAAGTAAAGACTTTTAACAGTGAAAACCGTTTTTAAATCCCAACTAATAATAAATAGGCTTATAATACATCGCGAAAAATATTAAAATTTCTGGATCACATCACATGGAATCTCACGACAACACGTATCTTATTCTTCTTTTTCTTTCCTTAATTCGCAGAAAAATCGCGACGACGACAGATTTAATACCATGCTTATCGCAACACGTGCACTAACACTCTTTTTTTTTTCAACACTTCGAGAAAAGATTTCTCCGCGTACGTGCGGATTTACGATCGAAAATTTTTTACCTCGCAAAAGGAGGTAACCTCGTAAAATTTCCAAGCATAAAAAAGTCGCGTATCACGGAAATTCGGCTTCATTTTCTTTCTTCCCGTCATCTATTTTCCATCTTTTTCTTATCAAATTAAACGATTGAATTGTGCAAGGCTTATTATATCGATCGCCATATTTTAAAATATAAATTACAGATGGGTTATACAGCGAAGGAGTGACAGTGATCGAACTGACTCGCCTTTGCATATAAATTCGGTTCTTTCGGTTTCTTCGAGAAGAGCGCATATGGTTGATTTGCTTGACATATCGTGTTAAAGGGAGCAGTATGGAGAAATGTTTTATTGAAAAATCAAAGAGACATCTCTGAAAAAGAAAAAAAAAAAATACTTATTCACTTCTTAAGATTGGAGCTTTATATTTAAGGGATTGGGAAATCTTTTCTCAACGAAGACGCGTAATCTAATAAAATAATAATTAATAAATAGAGAAAATAAATTGCTATTATAATATACACGTAATTTCGCGTTATCAAGAAATTCTCTTTTAAAAAAGAGAAATCTTCTGTCGCAAGTTAAAACTAAATTCGAAAAATGTGAAAAATTCGATATCTCGATTTTTCTTTTCTTTTTTTAAAAAAAAAAAGGTGATTTAGAGCGAAAGTGCAAGAACAACGCGTGGATCCATTCGGTCGCTGGTTGTCATCGACAACGATCAAAATTCAGCCGTGGACGCATTATCGGTCCACGAGCGTAACAAACGACGACAATTTGGCTCGTTTGCCCGTGCGTTCCACCGTCTACCGGTCGGAAACAGTGGCTCGAACAAATGCTTTTGCTTTTGGAAATGGGCCTCGAAACATGCCCTCGGTAAATTACAACGATTCCGGAAGACCGAGTCTCGAAACTTGGTCTCGACGAGCAGACAGCGTTAAATTTATCTCGAGAGAATTTATCCTGGTGGACACGCCTCGTCTTTTTCCTCTTCCTCTTCGTCTTCGAATTAATAGCGCGAAGACCGAGTTCGTCGATCATTTCTTGAATTTATCGATTTGATCGAATGCAAAAATAAGCGATAAGTTCTTTTTGTGGAAAATTTTGAAATTTTATCTGATCTCAATGAATATGATATTTTATGGAAAAATACGTATAGATATAAGTATAATTTTTCTGTCCACAGATTAAGTTACTTTTTGTAGGAAATTTTTTATAATTTTCTCTGATTATATGATATATATAATCATAATATATATTCGTCGAGCAACGAAATATGGAAAGGAAGGTGATTCGTGAATAAATCAAAAAATGTAGGATAGAATTTTTCCACGCGACGCTCCCTATTTTATCTTCAGAGAACATATAGTGCATACCCGCCTCGCCTTTTCCAGCTTCCATGCGTGGATTAATCCCATGGAACGTCGATTCTTTTGGGAAATTCTCGAATTTTTTGTATGACCTCGATATTTGAGGAATACAGGGAGCGTTTCGTAAAATCGTGACACGAAGATGGAAAGTACGCGCAGAGTCGAGAATAAATAAGATAAAAATCTTCCATTTCTTAGAATTTCTAAGAAGATTCAATTTAAAAGTTCGCTCGCCGATTCAAAGTTCTTCAAAATAAAAAAAAAAAAAAAAAAAACGATAATCTAACGATAAGATAGTCGAAAATTCCTGTTCGATCTATCCTTCAAAAAAATTTAAGATTTAACTTGAGAAACAGATTCAAAGAGACGAGTTTAATCAACGTACCTATTGAAAGTAAATCTAAAATTTAATTTGGACGTTTCTGGATTTCGAAGTATCAGTTCCCACAGAGGGACTTAATCACAGTTCATGAAGCGCATCGAGATCGAGGCGAAACAGCTTTCGCGATATTATCATACGAAAGTAAAATGAAATTACTAATCTGTGCTTCTGCCACAGCTTCTGCTGTATAACGGTGACACAATCACCGCGATATCGTTGCGATACAAGCCGATCCACGTTGTTATTAAGCGAGCCTCTGGCATTTAGACCGTGTCTTGGATAATTGAACAGGTTATGAACGTGGTGGCTTCACGTTTCCAATTCTATATTCCACGCGAACGAGGGATCGTTAAATTTATAAAATCGTCGAAAATACGGTAATCGAAATCGGCCGCAGAATCCCCTCGTTCTGTTCGTCGATCTAATTTATTCGTAAGTCGTTCCGAAGGGGGGATGATAATTATATTTTTTAATTAAAATTTCAATCGTTGGTTGAAAAGTTTCCGCGTGATAATTTCGCATTTTCTTTAGAATTTTTTTTGAAATCTGTCAATAATTCAATGAAAATTGGAAAGCGAAAAGAAAAATTGTTAGTGGAAATTTCTTTGCAATTACGTTTATCTTTTCGATAAACGTAAGAGAAATTTTAAATTCCCTTCAGATTACAAAAAGATAATTAGAAGAAACTTCTCTCTAAAAGTTATAAAAAGAAAAAAAAGTCCAATAATAAAATTCAAAACAGTGTTGCATCGATTTAAAAATTCGTTCATACCAAAGCATAACAGAATATTCTCTACGCGTAAATAAACAGGGAATCGCTATTTATCTACTATTTCACCTCTTCCATACACAATCTTCTATACAACGTGACAAAATTTACGGTTACGTTGGATCGGCTCGATGGCTCGATTCATAAACAAGAGTCGATTACGCGTGTAAAGCTTACAAAGGCATCAAATAATGTCCCGGGCGTTAAATCTTCGAAACAGATTGATTCACAGCATCGTGTCCTCTCCTAACGCTTCTAATTAATATTCCCCCCTCCTATTTGATTCCCTCGCTGCCATCGATCCCCGCGTTCTTCACGGATCAATTACAATTTCGTACGCCTTTTTTAACGATAATGAAAAGCGCGATCGAATCCAGATCGAGCGAGATCGTCAGAAAGATCGCTTTC